TTCTTGATCACTCTAGTCAAAGGATTACTTTTACATATTACTAAAGATCTTCATTTGCTGTCACTACTTAATTTGAATTTAGTGGTGTGTTTTCTGAAATATAGTAAGGGCTTTGTTTTACAGTAACCCGATCGTGAATAAAGAAAGTGTAAGGAACGTCTTAATAAGAGTCAAGGTTCGGATATGACAAATCCAACAAAAACCATGTGGAATGTTGATATTCCCCCCTTAAGGGTTACATTAAGCTTAAATATCAACACACATTGAAATAATATATGTGGAATGTTATTGGAGCAATTTTTGAGTAATAAGTAGAAAAGATTCTGTTTTGGTAAATTGTGTGCTTGGACTGCTGCCAAATCCCCAGTAAAAAGTATGTACATTTTCATAATTCAAAGGGATCCTTAATAAGTAACCAAAGTTCCAATCATGCCATTTGTCATATTATTGGGTTGCTGATGTCTGTCTGGGTAACATAACAATCTCCGATTACATCTTTCTTTTTTTTTCTCCTGTGCATATGTAACTAATCAAATCAATCTTTTCTCCCACCTTGGGTGAACCAAAGGTATTTGGGTGATCAAGCATTTAAAACAACTTAATGCCAAATGCCACCAACAAAAGTCAACCTAATTTTTCTAAGACCACAGGATCAAATATAATTGAATCATCTTTATTATATATGAACCATGGTTAATACTTTAATTTTTAATCTTTAACAGTACTGATTGCTGGTGTAGGTTCAAAATTAGTCTTCATTCTCCAAAACGGTGCAGTTTTTTAGTCTATTCTCTCAAGGCAGAGGTCTGTTGGTCACATTCACACTAATTTAGATTATATTGTGTTGAGGAGAGTCTCTGGAAGCAGTTTAAGCAGTACGTAGTGCAGTTAGCATGCTAATCTCCCATGTTAAAATTAGCGTAGGACCCATTAATATTGGGGTACTGTGACAAAGTGGTGAGCTTAACACAAATATTTGTTTGCTAAGATAGGTGTTTTTAGTAGCCTTGTAAAATTTTAAATTGCATTTGTGTGTGTGTGTGTGTGTGTGTGTGTTGGTTGAAACAGAATAAAAAACTATTCAATCTGACTTAAAGAGATACTATAAGCACCAAAACAACTTTAGCTTAATTGAACAGTTTTGGTGTATAGATCATGCCCCTGCGTTCTCACAGCTCAGTGCTATTGAGGAGTTATGTTGTCCTAGTCACACCTCTCTTCCTGTGACTTACACAGCACTCAAACACTTTCTCTTAAGATAGAACTAAAGCTTAAACTAATTCACAGTCTGAGTAATTTAAAATTTCCTATCTCCTGCTCTGTTAATAGCCTTCTAGGGCCTGCAGTAGCATCCTGTGTGTGATCAAAGTTCAATTTACAGAGAAGAAAAATGATAAAGTAAGTTAACATCTTTTGTAAAATGAAATTTTTTTTGTTTATGCAGGCTGTGCAAGTCACAGTTAGGGGAGGTGTGGCTAGGACTGCATGGACAGAAACCAAAGTGATTTTTTGGCAGAGAATTGGGCAGTGAGAGTTGATCCTGTAGTGTCCCTTTAAGATGGATATTGCAGTTTTTCACACCTTGCATGATGTTGATTGTCAGAGGAAATCAAACTAGGAAATGGAGAGGGGGCAACAGTGTAATGAAGAAGGAATTATTCAGTAGGCTCTCTGCCTCCTCAAACAACTCCCATAATCAGAATAGCAGCCAGTCACTGATAAGAAGTAAAAAAAAAAAAATATATATATATATATATATATATATATAAAACTTACTGGCTGTAACCTAGTTTGCAGCAAAGGTTGGCAGTGGAGAGCCGTATACACTGTCATGTGTGCTTTGCATTCTTGGAGATGACCCCTTGTTGCTGTCAGATATATAACCTGACAAATCATGATTCCATTAATGGATATTGTATCCATTAAGATCCCCTGAGTGCTAGACCCTGACCGAGTGCCCGAATGCTCAATCCATGTCTATGTGTTTGATTTTCCCAAGGCACCTGTAACACATTTTATAGCTCTTATACCATCTCAGCACTCTTTTCTGCTGGTCAGTTTTTGAATTCCAATGGAGCGGATGGTGTTTTCTATGGATTTAAAAGAAAAATGCTCTTATTGCATTTCCTCTTTCATAGGTAACAAAATGCACTTCTGGTCCAGTAGAATACTAGTAAAAAATCCTATAAAAATATATTTTTTTCCTAAACAGAATTTTCTTCTGTGTGATTTCTTTTCAGCTGACGAATTCTAGTAAACCCACTGGAAATCTCATAGGCATTTAATGGGCACATAGCAGTTGTGTCTTTGAGAGAGCTTAAAAAATGCATTTTAAAATTGACGGGATGCTAAGAGAAGGGTAGCAGTGATTTTTATCTGCCTTTTATATACACATATGGATTTTTATGATATCTTATCCTTTAAAGAATTTTTTTGTATGGGTGTTATAGAGGGGAATACCAAGTAACAATAATTCACTTTGTAACCAAGCCTCGAAGCAAGGGAATATAATTTAATATAATCTTCATTTCTTGGTACTAAATTGGTTGACAAATTACAAACTGGCTATAGTCAATTTTTGTAAATATCTTGTTATGTACTTAGTTTCCTCCTATTATTTGATAGTTGACATCCTGTATATTACTTAATTATTCTGTAAATTCATCCTAAAGTAAGGATTATGGCCTTGATTCAATATTGTTGGATAAGATTTTAGAATAATTTAATATTTTTGGGTAAATTATAAAAAAGATTTAATATTACGAAAAAAATATAATGTTTTAATATTTTATGATATAGTAATATATTTTTATGTATGATATATGTTTTTATATTTTAATATTCTGAAAAAAAGTTTATCAAACATTATTAAATAATTTGAAAAATGAATCAAACATTGTTAAATCAAGGTCTATGTTTGAAAACAAACATTAAAGTCAATAACAGACAATGGACATGACGACTGAATTGCAAATTCAATTTAGCAGACTTACTATTGTTTAATTTATTGTTCTTTGTTCTCATTGTTACAACATTATCCATTGTTTCAAAAATGTAAAATAACTAAAAAAAGAACTAAAATACAAATAAAATATATTCACCATCCATCCACTTCTTACTCCATCTGTCTCCATCATGAATAATCTGTAGTCCACCACCGAACTATTCCTTTCCATCCTTCATTTTATAAAGGAGGTGGGTTAGATTGACCTCTACAACTGCAAAATGGACTTCCAAAAAACCCCCCAAAATAACCACTATGAAATGTTGTAGTGGTTATGGTGCCAAGAGTGCTGCTAGTGTAAGTAGTTAATGCATTTTAGAACAGTTTGACTTCTTACTTGGGGTCTGCTAGGTGCCATTGCTGCCACAGTGAGAGACAGCAGCTGTCTTCACAAAGTTAAGCCTGGCAGAGCAAAGCTTAACTCAATGGTTGAGATTGATCAGCTGACATCAATAGAGAGCTGTATGAAGCTCCTAGTAGGAGTTTTTATCTCCCAAAGCAAAAGAGGAGAGGCAGAGTGCCCAGTAGACCAAAGGTAAAAAGTCAATCCATCCTGATAACTAGTCCAGCATGCTGAAGTGGTTATGGTGCTAATAGAATGCATAGAATCACAGGAGTTGTACAACAGATGGTGATCTACCTTTTGGCCATTCTTGCACTAGATGGGGGCACACAAAACTTTCTTGCACCAGAGCCCTCTTTACTCTAATAAAGAGTGCTGTTATTTCCACTGTCTGGTGTTTATTTCTGCAAATAGAATTGAAGATTATGCTAGCTTTAGTGTACTAATAATCTTAATTTTAATAAGGACAGGAGGCGAGTATTTTGCATTAACTCTCTTTACTAAACTCCACAGCAGTAAAGAAAAACGTAAAGAGTAACAAATAAATCACTGAGCAGCATAGTATATAAGGGTCATGCTGCCTGTACACTTCCTCTTTCTTAAAGCGACATCCAAGTCCAGATAGAGCTCGAACATCCAGAAACTCAATGAAACAGTAACTGCGGTCTCTGGCGAGCGGAACTTGAGGAGACTCCTGGTAACGAGATAGGAGGAAAGACCAAACGAAGCCGTCATCCCATCTTACAGAGTCGTGAGGTTAACGAACCAGCGACCAGTGGAGGTCCTGAAGAGGGTTACACTGAAAGGAGAGTATAAAATCGGTTAGGTACTGAACCGTAACTGTTCACGCCTGTGGGCTTTAACAGAATGGTGTAAATTAAACAGTACAGACAGATTGTAAGCTGGCCATAGGCTAAATATGTGTTAGGTGTAAGCAAGTTGTACAACTAAACTGTCCGTCTAGGTGGAAACACATAGAGATGGAAGGGATATCGAATATGTCCAGAAGATAGAGTAACTATTAACATGAATCCCAAAATCCGTCACCTTAAGATCCACTCCCCCGAGGAGTCAGGGTAGGGAACAAAAGGGAGGGAAAATACTCGCCTCCTGTCCTTATTAAAATTAAGATTATTAGTACACTAAAGCTAGCAAAATCTTCAATTTTATAACATGACAGGAGGCTTCCTATTTTGCAATTTTAACGCTGAAGAAGAGACATCCCAGCAGAAGGGGGAGTGCGAAAGTAAAATGTGCGGAAAGTGGATTCCCTAGACCAGTCCACCGTTCGGAGAATATCCGAAAGGGACGCCCCTGCCAGGAAGGCTGATGAGGCCGCCGCTCCGCGAACGGAGTGGGCGCCGAATGCGGGGTCTATACCTGCGAGGGAAAGGATCCAGCGGATCCATCGGGCCAGTGTGGTGAACGAGACTGGGGTGTGAGGGCGCACGTAGGAGACTAGGAGTTGGCCCGACATAGAGGATCGGAGTGAGGAGGTAACGGAAACATACCTGGAAAGGGTGGACACGACAAAGAGTTGCGGGTCGTCGGGGAAAAAGGGGTAGAAGAACGAAGTCGAACCCGACTTAGTGCGACGGGAAATGTGGAACGTGACCCCTTCCGGGGCCACCTCGAAAGCGTCCACGTCGAAGGCCCGAACGTCCGAAACCCGTCGGAAAGATACTAGGCAAAGGAGAAAAGCGCACTTAGCGGACAGTTGGCGTAGGGAGAGGCGGTCATTCGGAAGCCAATCCCTGAAAAGACAGAGAACCAGTCCTACATCCCATAGGTGAGGGTATCTGGGGGCCGGGGCGCGGCGGAGTAGACGGCAGACCAGAGGGTCTTTGCCGACCGGGAGATCCCCGACGGGGGTGTGAGCTGCCGAAATCGCGGAGCGAACGACGTTGACCGAACGGTAAGAGCGGCCAGATGAAAACAAGGAGGAAAGAAAATTAAGAATCATGGGAATAGGTGCTGTAAAGGGATCGGAGTCCCGTTCCATGCACCAAGTAGACCAGGAGGCCCAAGCTGAAAGGTAACAGCGTCTAGTTCCCGGGGCCCATGAGTCCCATAAGAGGTCCCTAGCAGCCTGCGATAGTCCACTGACTCGCCAGGAACCCCGGAAAGAGACCAAGCCACCAGGGGTAGCCGGTCTTCCAGGAGTAGTGGGTGGAGATACCCTTTGGGATCCGTGAGCAGGTCCTGGAAGGATGGTAGGAGGAGAGGGTCTGCCACAAAGGCGTTATGACAACCAGTTTGATCTGTTGTGTCCGCATCTGGTGTAGTGTTCTCGCAATCATGGAGAATGGGGGAAAGGCGTAGGCTCCTGTCGTCGGCCATTGTTGGAGAAATGCGTCTGTCGCCTTGCTCTCCGGGTCCGGGAGCCAGCGGAAGAACTCCGGGGTCTGGTGATTGTTGCGAGAGGCAAACAGATCCAGGTGAAAGGGACCCCTCCGGGCTGTCAGGGCCCTGAAGATTCTCGTGTTTAGCTTCCAGTCGCTGACGTCTCTCCAGTGGCGAGAGAACCAGTCGGCTGTGAGGTTGATTTCTCCCGGTAAGTATTCCGCCTGAAGCGTGATGTTGCGAGGGAGGCAATAGTCGAAGATGTCCCTTGTGATATCCAACAGCAGGCGTGAGCGGGCGCCTCCCAGACGGTTGATGTACTGGACTGCGGAGACATTGTCCATGCGCAGGAGGATGCAGCAGTTGGATCTTTCCCGGGCCAGGCTGCGGATCGCGAAGGATCCCGCCAGGAGTTCGAGGCAATTGATGTGCATGGAGAGCTCCTGTGCCGTCCATGTTCCTCCCGTGGAGATGGTTCCATTGGTGGCACCCCATCCCCACAGGCTGGCGTCTGATTCCAATACGAAGTCTGGGGTGTCTCCGGCCTTACCGTTCCAGGCTTCCATGCTGTCCAGCCACCATGATAGTTCTTCGCGAACCTCCGTCGTCACCGGGACGGGTTGGTCGTAAGTAGGTCTGTGGCGTAGGTATTTCGCCTTGAGACGTTGCATGGCCCTGTAGTGGAGGGGACCCGGAAATATAGCTTGAATGGAAGCAGAGAGGAGTCCTACAATCCTGGCCAGGTTGCGTAGTGGAATGGAGTTGAGACGGAGAACCCTGCGAATCTCCTTGCGAATGGCTGTGATCTTTGAGGCTGGTAGTCTCAGAGTGCATGTCGTTGAGTCGATCTCGAAGCCGAGGAACTGTATCGTCTGAGTAGGGGTCAGCTCCGATTTCGGTTGGTTCACCACGAAACCCAGAGATTCCAGTAGGGACACTGCCAAGTGAGTGTGTTGGCGTAGTCTGTGTTCGTCGGAGCAGAAGAGGAGAAGGTCGTCTAAGTAGATGATGCATCGAATGCCCCTGGATCTCAGGTGGGCCACCACTGGTTTTAGAAGCTTGGTGAAGCACCATGGGGCTGAGCTGAGCCCGAAAGGGAGGCAAGTGAATTGCCAAGGGTGTCCGTGCCAGAGGAAACGTAGGAGTGCTCGACAGTCCGGGTGCACCGGGACTGACAGATATGCATCTTTCAAATCGAGCCTGGTGAACCAGTCGTTGCTTCGAAGAAGGTCTCGCAGGATGTGGATGCCCTCCATCTTGAAGTGGCGATAGACCACATGTGCGTTGAGGGCGCGTAGATTGATGACCGGTCGGTATTCTTCTGACTTTTTCCGAACCAGGAAGATGTTGCTGAAGTAACCACCCCCGTCGTGGGCCGGTTGGATGGCCCCTTTGTCTCGGAGCTCGCGTAGCTCCGCGTTGACGAGGTTGTGGTCGGAGGACGACATGTGGATGGGGCGAGGGGGCTGAACCTGAAAGGGGGTCCCCACTAGGTCTATGATATATCCCTGTACTGTTTGTAGGATCCATGTGTCTGAGCATAGGGCTGCCCAATTCTGGAAAGAAAGGGAAATACGGCCCGCAGTGCGGGTGCATGGTAACAGTGGAGGAATACGAATACCTCTATCCGAGCCTCTGGAAAAGGGTTGCTGCCGATAGTCCCTTGTCGGGTAGAGCGGTGTTGGTTGGGTGCGGGGGCCTGAAGGCCAAAAGCGGCTGGCGGCACGGCCCCGCTGCCGGCCAGCCCTTCCAAAAACCCCTCTGGTAGGGTTGCTCCTGAAAACTCTGCGCATAGAGGATTGCGCCTTATTAAGGATGGTGAACACGTTTACGTGTTTATTGAGTTCCTTGAGGAACGGTTCGCCAAATAGTTTTCCTTGTGCCTGGGGCCCAATCTCCTTTGTGCCAAGGTCTGCCAATTTACCGTTAATACGGTATAACGCTGCTTTTCGTCTCTCCGAAGAGAGCCGACACCTCCTGTCTGGGCCGCACCCAGGAGGGTCTCTCGCATGAAAGTGGAGACAGATTTCTCGTCCGAGCCCCATGCGTCGTAGTCCAAGTCAGATGCGTCAGCTTGCCACTCATCCAGCACTGACATGGACTGGGCAGGGCCCTGCTCTTCGTCTGAAGAGTACTCCTGACGCGGGGCCGGGGTGTGAAATTTGGCAGACTTGCGCTTGGCAGGTGCCTTACCCTTAGGTGGTTTGGGTGTGTAGTCTTCGCCTTTGTCATGGCGTTTTTTAGGGTGGGAATCCTCCCATGCCTGGTGGTTGGACAATTCAGAATCCGACTCGTGGCTTGGACGTCTGCGTTTTGGTACGTCAGGAGCCGAAGCTCGGGCCTTGGAGAGTGCCTTCTCCACAGAGGCAGCGACAGCTGCGTTAATCATGGCCTGGAAGTCCACAGGGACGTTCTGGGAATCTTCCATGTCAGGGTAGGCCTATAGGTCACTGAAAGGCACAGCAATAAACGGGCACCCAGGTCTTGATAGTAGGCGTAGGGTCAGATTTGGAAGTATGGTGGGAACAAGCCCAGAATAACCCCAGCAGGGTATAGTAGTGACCTTATAAACTGGGGCTCACCCAGTTAGAGAGAACTGCAACAGCTGGTCTCCCAGTAAGCAGCGTATTATAGTGGGGGCTCAC